GACCGGAGACTGAAGTGAGATAGCTTATCGGGCCGCTGATGGCCTCTTTCAGAATAATCATTACACTGTATGCATGCCGATAACCTCCGAAGGGATGGCCTGTCCGCCCACTCCGGTCAAAACCCCTGCTGTGCATGATGGGTCTGAACCAGTGTGTTTCATTCCATGTGGAATAGTAGGTCAATTTGTCGACCCTTCTCTTGCCTGGTAACTTGCCTAGGGGCATAGTATCCAGTCGCATCATGAATATGCTATTGTCACCCATACTTCTGCGTCTGTACAAGTCCTTGCAAATCATTCCTCAGTTCCTCATTACTTTTACTGTTCTCACTAGGCTCAAGGTTGATGCACCTGAGATATTCATTTGCTTTCAGGATGAGGACTGCCAAGAAGCAGCTAAGTGCTTGAATACCGGCTCGCACAAGCTGTGTGCATTCTCTGTGCCCTAGTTCACGATTTTGCTGGCATCTACTTAGTAGATGGTATCACTCTGCTTTCGCACGGTGGTGGACGTTCACAATAATGTGCGTCCGGGTAAATCTTCGCTTTCAAAGAAGTTTCGTCAACTGAGGCTGTTGTAGTTTCAGTTGTTGGGCTCAATAACAGATAGTTGACGAACATCACAGCCGTTGGATGAATGTGTAATAATGAAGAGCCGACAGAATCATCTGAACCTCACACTACAGCTATGTGTTATTTGTCCACTTAGGCTAAAATGTATGTATAGTGCCCGAAGCGCGTGGATCGTATTGTTGGCTCGATGATGCCGCATCATTAGATACCGTATCATTGTGTAAGAGTCTTTCTTAGTCTCTCAAACCACAATGTAAGTCACACCGCCCAACGCCCAACACCCGACTGAGCCACACTAGCAGAATCACCTTCACGTATGCAGTGCATTCGCTTGAATCACCTTTGCCCTTAATTCCTCTGAAGTCCTTTCACCCTTCCGATATTTCAATTTCACATCGTGCGTGATTCTGTCCCCCAATGTCGAGCAAATCTTGCACTTGGCTATTCGATAATTAGTTGTCCAACATCACTCGAGAGAGCGAGTCGGGGAAGGTGTACTGTTAACACCTCGGCGTTATGGGATCATAGCGACTCCGAGGCGTAGCGACGGGGCACCGTTCCGTATGAATGAGGCACATGCAAATGGTGACTCAGCCGATATCTAAAGAGATGAATGTGGTTCAGGGATGATTGCATGATGAATTTCATCCCGGATGGATATCGATCCTGTCTATAGAGTTCCACTCACATCCACAGAGACGTCAACGTCTCTGTAACTACTCTTTTTGTTTTTTCGTACCGGCGATTAGTTGTCGCCGTGTCTGCAACGCGTTCTCAGTGCATTCTCTTCCAACCAACACCATGTTCTGTTGGCACTAAAAGCTCACAGGCTCAGATCGGCCAACGAATGCGAATGTTAAATCGCTGGCTGTGTCTTTTCT